TGAATGGGAGAAGCATGCCTCATTACACATCGGTAAACATTAAAGTCATTGTATTATTGTTTTGTTTTTTATTGCTATGAATATAATTTATTATGACATTCTTCATATTGTACAGGAGCAAGTTCAGAAATTTCGAGAAGAATATGTATGCAGATAGGTACTTCATCCTCAAAATCTTCATCGACAAGTCATGGTTATTGAATCAGGAGTTAACATCCTCATGTAGGAGTAGAAATTTAGATATTGTATTTGATTATTTGTTCATCTTCATTGATGAATGTTGTACAGTTTATTCATATGTAATATAACTGTTAAGTTGGTTATGGATCATTTAAATGTTAAATATTATGACATTATAAATATTTGTATCATCTTTGTACATAATAGATAATTTCATGCTTAATAGTTGTAAAGAATGCGCTTAACAAAAAACAAATTGAAATTTGAAGGTTCTGTCGCCTAAGCGATGCCTTCGTCGCTTGAGCAAGTGTTGATCCACTAACGAAACGCCCAACACAGCTAGCCATATAATATAACTTGGTTCACCTTATATAAGAGTCGCTCAAGCGATGATTCTGTCGCTTGAGCGAGTATTGACCCAAAACGAAACGTTAAACGCAGTTAGCCAAACAATATAACTTGGATCACCACATATTAGAAACACTTGTCGCTCAAGCCTTCATAACGTCGCTTGAGCGAGACAGAACCCGAGGGTCCCTTTGGTTAAGGTTCCATCGCTCAAGCGATTACATAGTCGCTTGAGCGAGACAGATCCCGAGTGTCCCCATTGTTTTGAGGGACCTTAGATAGCGGTTAATCAGAACCGCTTTTAAAAATATATATTAGATAGCGGTTATGCCTTAACCGCTGTGTAATGTATGTTTACAATAGCGGTTTTTTTATAACCGCTCTTTTATATCATACTTTTAAAGAGCGGTTTGCTCGCGGAACGCTATAATAAATATAGTTTAGATAGCGGTTAGCCAAATAACCGCTATCTAAAGTCATATATGTCAAAGTGATCGACTATAATTGGACACTAATCGATCATAACTTTCGATAACCGATTATAATTGAGAATGATCGATCATATACCACTCTGCATCTGTCTCGCCGGCGCACGCAAAAGAAACGTTCGTTCTGTCCTGGCTCTGGTTCGTCTATGTTTAATATAGGGTTCTGTTCTAATTACTCGCACATTCTCTGTTCTCTGTTTTGGTTCACTGTTGACTATCTCAATCGTCGTAAACATAAACCATGGCTGGCGAAAGAAAAAGCTCCAAGCGCACCCACTCAGAAGCGACTTCTTCAAGTACCCAAACTGTGACCACGAAGGAGGTCATAGCCCCAAAGCTCCCTTGTTTGAAGGCTGCGTCGCTCAAGCGATAACTTTATCGCTTGAGCGAGTTTATACCCAAGACGAAACGTCAAACGCAGTTAGCCAAATAATTTAAGTTGGTTCACCACATATTAGAATCAATTTTCGCTCAAGCGTTCAAAACGTCGCTTGAGCGAGATAGAACCCGAGAGTCTCCCTTGTTTGAAGGCTGCGTCGCTCAAGCGATCACTTTATCGCTTGAGCGAGATTATACCCAATGACGAAACGTCAAACTCAGTTAGCCAAATAATTTAAGTTGGTTCACCACATATTAGAATCACTTTTCGCTCAAGCGTGCAAAACATCGCTTGAGCGAGATAGAACCCGAGAGTCTCCCTTGTTTGAAGTATGCGTCGCTCAAGCGATAACTTTATCGCTTGAGCGAGGTTATCCCCAATGACGAAACGTTAAACGCAATTAGCCAAATAATTTAAGTTGGTTCACCACATATTAGAATCACTTTTCGCTCAAGCGGTAAAAACATCGCTTGAGCGAGATAGAACCTGATGGTCCCTATTGGTTAAGGTTCCATCGCTCAAGGGATGTCATCCTCGCTTGAGCGACTATTGAACCACATACCACAGACCTTAGATAGCGGTTACTATGAACCGCTTTTAAAAATATATATTAGACAGCGGTTTGCTGTTAACCGCTGTCTAACGTATGTTTATATGTCAAAGTGATCGACTATAATTGCATAATAATCGATCATAATTGCATCTCTCTCGCCGACGCACACAAAAGAAACTTTTGTTCTCTCCCGGCGTTCGTTCTTTCCCGGCTCTGGTCCGTCTATGTTTAATTTTGGGTTCTGTTCATTTGTTGTAGGGTTTATTATGGTTGGAGATTTTGGTTTTGAATTTTAATTTGATGGTTCAAGTACCCACTCAGAAGAAAAACTCAGAAGCGACTTCTTCAAGTACCCAAGCTGTGACCACGAAGGAGGTGATAGCCCCAAACTGTGAAGGCGAGGGTCCCCTTTGGTTAAGGTTCCAGCGCTGAAGCGATGTCATCCTCGCTTGAGCGACTGCTGAACCACAGACGAAACTTCCTACGCAGTTAGCCATCTAATAAATCTTGGTTCACCACATATAAGATTCAACTGTCGCTCAAGCGATAACAGAGTCGCTTGAGCGGGACTGAACCCGAAGCGACCTTACATAGCGGTTAATAAGAACCGCTTTTAAAAATATATATTAGATAGCGGTTAAACGTCAACCGTTGTCTAAGGTCTGTGAATAATCGACTATAAGCTATAATAATTGATCATATTCGCTCATTTTTCTAAAATCGCTCAAGCGACTTTATCATCGCTCGAGCGAAGCCACCTGATAGAATGGGGATTCTCGGGTTGTGTTTCGCTTGAGCGACTATAGTCTCGCTCGAGCGACATTTGATTGACTTTGCAGAGCGGTTAATATTTTAACCGCTCTTAAAAGTGACCATATAATAGCGGTTCCATGTTAACCGCTATCTAAAATATACTTTTAATAGCGGTTATTTCTAGAACCGCTCTTTTTAGTAGGTTTAGATAGCGGTTTCCAGAACCGCTATCTAAAGTCCCAATTTAAAAAAAAAATTGTTTAATATTTGGTTTGCTTATTTGCTCCAAAAACTAGGTTTGCTTTAAAATTATCTAAATTCCCAATTTAAAGTCTCAAAACTATTTTAATATTATTAGTTTGTTATATACTGAAATGTCTACAATTAGGTTTGCTTTTTTTGAAGGTAGTTTGCTGTTATCATGCAGTGTGATTTTTATTACATGTCTTTCATTCGACGTAATATAGAACCGATGATTGTTACGTAAATGTATGGACCATCAATCGCTTATAAATGCATTGAAGAAATTAAAATTGTCTGTTACATTGTTATATTTACATCCACAACTCTTACAGGATCAGATTGTATAGTCTACACTACTTGTTGCACGTCTATGTCCTATCATATATACTCTAACAAAATCGGAATGTATAGTCTACACTGCTGTTGCACGTCTATGTCCTATCATATATACTCTAACAAAATCAGAATGTATAGTCTACACTACTGATGACGTTATCCAGCCAACAAGACATTGAATAAAAAAAGCACTCGTCAATCAACATTGTTATATTAACACTTATGTCCTGCAAGTTGAAGAAGAAATCATTAGTATACATCAACGCCATGCAATTCTAAACTAATGTAATATTCATTGTTGACAAAGTATTTCATTAAAAAAACAATGTTTCCAAACCATTTAGTTGAGGAAGACAATTGTGTGCCGTCAACATTACTGTCAAGTGATGTCAACAACGACACAAAACCAGTGGTACCCAATGTTGATGGCTGCAAAGGGCAACAATTACATGAGTTTTAATGACTTTACTGCCATTTTACATAACATAAACTGCATAAACAGTATATCAATCCCACAAATAAATTCAAATGAATTGCATATCACACTTTAAATAAAGCAAATTCAATTGGTTATCGGGCCCCTTCTTTGAACTCCTTGTTTTGATGCCAAATCCTTTTTATATGGCATATTGTCGATAAAATGATTTAACTGCATCTGCAGTTTCAAAGGACATTCCTACACATGGAACAGAACCGTCGTATTCTGTTGTAGTCTTGACATCTGCGTCAGGAGATCCTTCATCATGGCCAACCAACACTTCTTCATGTAAACTTGTGACATCTGCATTACTGGGTATTTTATCATGTACACTTATCATTTCTTGGTCTACACCTTTGAGAGGACCATCACATTGTTGTACATCCGCATCACTACCTATGTCATCATACACGGCCAAAATGCCTTCATTGACAGCTACTCTCTGTTTTCATTTATATCTCCCATGCTAGATAAACGATGAAGGATACAATTCCTAACATTGCCAACAATATAATAGCAAGTTATATAAGTTCGGAACTTGGAGACGAAAATAGTCCATGTAAATGCTCAATCGTTTATCTACCCAAAAAACACAATTTCAGATCACAATGGAACGCGAACTTGGCGACACACAAATATATTACAATGTAATATGCTTCAATGTGAGCAAGAGAATCAGAAAGATTGAAAATACAAAGAACGTACCTTTAGCTTAATAGAAGACGCAGACAGCGAGAATGAGAACGCAGAGAGCGAGAATGAGAGCGCAGAGAGCGGCAAAAAAACGCAGACAAAAAGAGCGCGAGGTTGAAGAAAGCTGGAGGGAGGGATTAAAAAAAATAGCACTTTAGATAGCGGTTCACTCCTAACCGCTCTTTAAAAGTATGACATTAGATAGCGGTTATTTCTGAACCGCTAATAAAACATACTTTAGATAGCGGTTCACTCCTAACCGCTATATTATACTTATTTTTAACAGCGGTTTTTAGTAACCGCTATCTAAAGTTTAATATTTTTTTAATCAGTTGTCGAACGGATGTTTAAAATGAGTGTAAAAATATCGGGACTCATATTTTTAGATGTATAATCTATATTTAGATGGTTTATATTATTAAATTAAGTCGTTATTTTCACGAAGGAAAATGGTAAGAATTTGTATTCAATATAATAATATTAATAGGATGGTTTATGTGGGTGTATACTCTACACAACATATCATTACTCTCTCATGAATCCAGGGTCCTAATCGAAGCTGGAACTGAAAGTCCAAGATTGAATCTGGTGCACTTCAGTCAGCAGTCCCGTGGCGCCGGAGAACCCAACGCTGACCCATTCCGGCAGAACCGTCTTCAAGTCAATCACATGGCTAATAGTTGGTCCGTTCACTACAACCACTTTCAAACTTTGTGACACAGCGTCGTAGGTTACGGTCACAACTGCTGTTAACACCCCATAATCATTTTTCCATTGCGATGTTGCCACCGAAGAAATGGAGTTAACATCAATGCCTACGTGGGGGAAACCAGGGTCCCAGGCATTTTGGTGCATGTCGAATTCAACTGCAACTATTTGGTTGTGGTCGGTGTTTCTTAAAGCAAAGCGGTGATCGAAGAGTCCGAGGTATCCACCAAATGAATTTACGGGCAGGGTAGATTCGAATGGTGCAAGGAAGAAAGAGATTCCATCTGCAGTGTTTCGACCAAAGGACATGTTAAAAGAGAAGGTGGTGGTGAAGCTTGCAACCTTACCAGTTTGTGCATCCCAAAGACGCACGGGGAGAGCATAGGTGGCTCTTCCAGCACTTTTGGGCACCACTATACCGTCTTGGATCTTTGTTAGGTGTATGACACCCTTTGATAAAGAGGCATCGCCTTGGAAGGTTAAAAGGGTTTTTGAATATGGCCCTGAAAAAGTGGGGAATTCGAAAGATGTGTCGGAATTGCGATGCAGCATTAGAAATGGAATGAGGAGGAACAAAACGGGCTTTGCGTTGAACAAAGCAGCCATGGCTGTGATATTATATGATTTTGAGAATGGTGAAGTGTCAATCCACAATACATATAGGAAGAGATTTCGGTCAGCTGAGAAATTAAAATATAATAAATTGTTCATGAACGGACGAGGCCAAACGATTTGCATAGTTGACACTTGACGACACATATGAAGAATGGTGATTTAAACAAGGATGTAGACGAAGACCTTTTCAAGTCGTCAGGGTTGTACGTACCGTTGGATTGATGGTGAAGTAAGATAGAAAGGAAGAAAAAGAAAGTGATAAAAACGTCACAAGACGATAAATGAAGAAATTAATGTTAAAAAGTGTACAGAGGTATTGTGGGTATGGAAAAATACAAAATGTCTACATAAGTTTATTTGTGCATTTAATATGCCAACTAATGCCTTGCTAACTTATTCTTGTTGATCGATTAATTTTGAGGTTCCCCAAAACTCATATATCTCTGTCTTCTTCGTTGTGTTGCATGCTTCAATCCAATTCTCTAAAATGCCCTATTTTTTTTACTGTTTTTTTCATTGTTGTTCATTAGGATTGACGTTTTATTATACTAGTAATTTTTGTTGACTTACAAATGTTTATTACTTAACATATAAGGTATATCTCTTGTTTGAAGAAAAAAAAACTCGATTTAAAATTGTATCCTTTGATTATTATTTATAAATGTATAAACAAATAATATCAACTAATTAATATTTTAAATTATTTGCGTGACTTTTGTATTATTTACATAGTAAAAAAATTATAAAAGTGTTGGTAAAAAAAAATCGAAAATCTGAATCGAAAATCCAAAGAAAAAATTCGATGATTCTATATTGCTGAGGAAAATCGAGAATCCGAATCGAAAGAAGAACAGATGAAATTCAATGAACATGATTGGGGAAGTAAAAAATCGATTATAAGTATTGAGTGTGAAGTTAAGTGGGAAGTCAAAAGTAGTTTAAAATACTCGATGAATGAGGTCGAGATTGAGGGAACGGTTAACGTGCACATGAAACATGAGAAGCGGTTTTCTAAACCGTGGCTAAGGTGGAAATCGAGGAATGGTTAACGTACACATGGAACATGGGAAGCGGTTTTCTAAAACCGTGGCTAAGGTGGAAATCAAGGGACAGTTAATGTGCACATGGAACGTGGTAGCGGTTTTTAAACCGCTCGTGGGAGGTTACCTTAAAGAAAATCTATAAATAGAGCAAAACATGAAGAAAGAAGGGGAAATTGACAGAGAGAACAGAAACACAAGTGAACAAGTCTACCGGAGAACGACAAATCATGAAGTTTCTGGCGATCTAGATTTCCATTTTCATTGACTGTTGTTACCGCTTTCTGTATTTTCCCTGGTACTTTATCTTTAATGCAATCTAATTTTACGTGTCTTTACTTTCATGTTATTTCAATTCATTGTCATTTACACTCATGCAATTTAAAGATTCTGCATTTACACTTAACACAATACATCTTTGTCTCAAGAAATTTTAATTTCATGTCATTTACTCTTAATGCAATTTAACTTTATGTACTACTTTTTACTTCGACAACCTTTTAACTGCTTTCTTTACTTCCATTAAATATTCACATTTTCGAGTTTCTTAATAAAAAAAAACAAGAACAAGAACTTTCGATTTCAATATGTATGTTTTGTTACGTTTTCCACATTTCTAATATTTATGCTTAATTTCATCCATTTGGCTCGATACTTTGATATTTTCGATTTACATACATTTTTTTATTGAAATTTTTTTGCTAGCCTAAGTAAAAATAATTTACGTGGTTGAAATTTGGTTACAACCTAAGTCTTTAGGACATTGAAAACAACCAAAATTTTCACCAGAAACAAATTGGCGCGCCAAGTAGGGGGTGGTGTGTTAAACACACAAAATTTGGCTAGTTCAAAAGTATATGAGATTAAGGAGTGGACGATTAATAAGAATGAGTCAAAATCCACCAAATAGTCAGAGTAACAGTGAGATTCCTAATAGTCCGAATCCACCAAACACTGGGGGACAAGTTCACAATGGAACTATGCCTGTAATATCGATAAATGTGAGTGCGTTGATTCCAGTGAATAATGAACAAAGCCCAGTGACATTAGCAAATACTCAGTTAATAGGGTCTGGGACTATAATGTCAAACAGTATGCAAACTACGGGAAGCTCCGTAACAACATGTGCAGGTCCATATATGAGTGTAAGACCGTCTGGATTTACGTTTAATAATATGAATGGGGCTGGTACTTCAGTACAATGAAGTACGAGACTTAACCTAGGAATGCCCCAAAACTTAGGAACATTTTAAACCTTAAGAATGCCTCAAAATTTTGGAGTATCCCCGAATTTAGGTATATCCCAAAATTTAGTAATACCTCAGAATCCAGGGAATGCACAAAGTTTAGGAACACAACAGATGTCTCCGATCCCAAACCAAGATAACAGAGCAAATCTGGATCACGGGAGATATGCATTCGATAGAGATTAGCATCGATCTAATTTTGATGCTATCGAAAATGCTAGTACTGGAATTTCCAGTAATTCATTAGGAGTGTTTCGACAACAAATGGATGAAAGTAATTTCGAGATGGTTAATGTGTTGTCACAACAGTTGACTACAATATTAAACCCATTAATTCAAAACACTACTAATAGTTTTGAGATATTAGCAGATCAAATGACATGTATCGGGGATGCATTGGCAATACCTCGACAAACGAGGGTCGAAAATAATGTCAATCAGGATAATAACCAAAACATCAATATTAATCCCCCTTATTTATTAAGGAGAAATCGAAATGTTGATCAATATCTGCATGTGAGGAATGATGCTCACGGAAATTTAAATGGGGGGTTTCAAAATATGTATAATCAGAATAACATGCAGTACAATCATGTGTTGGGACAAAGGATGAATCCCCAAGGAGTGAAATTAAGACCACTTGACCAACCGTACTTTGTTTCTCATTTTCCAAATATGATTCTCGAGACAGAATTACCTCGAGGATATAAAGTACCCAAGTTCACCAAATTTTTCGGAGAAATTGGTGAATCCACTATCGAACATGTGGTACGATATCAAATCGAATATGGAGATATAGCTATGAATGAGGAATTAAAAATGAAATACTTCCCTAGTTCATTAACAAAGAATGCTTTCACTTGGTTTACTACTTTGTCACCTAACTCGATATATAATTGGTTGTAGTTGGAAAGAAATTTTCATGAGCAATTTTTTAGGGGAGAGACTCAAGTAAGTCTTATCGACTTAATAAATATAAAAAGACATAATCATGAGAGTATAGATGATTATTTGAATAGATTTAGACAAATGAAATCGAGATGTTTCACTCAGATTCCCGAATTTGAATTAGTTAGAATGGTCTCTGCTGGTTTAGAATTCTCATTAGAAAGAAGTTGGTTAATTTACCATTGAATGACATAGCTCAATTAGCCGATAAAGTAAGAAGAGTGAAACAAATCGAATATAAGAAGGAAAGATACAAGAAATTTAAGAAACCTATAAAGAAAGATAAGGTTGTGTACATAAATGACATATACGAAGAAAATCTCAAGACAGAAGTAGAAAATGAAGAATCTATCGATAAGAAAGTAAACATAGCAGAGCTCAAAGTAGGAGCTCCATATATTTGTAAATTGTTGCAGAAAAACAATGTAAAAGAAAAAATGGTGAATCGAACATATACTTTCGATATAACAAAAGCAGATAAAATCTTCGATATTTTATTGAAAGATAAACAGATTAAATTGAGTGATGATCATAAATTTTCTTCTTTAGATCAAAGAAATGGTCGAAAATATTGTAAATTTCATAATATTTATGGGCACTGGACTAATAATTGTATATATTTCAGGAACACGATTCAAGATGCAATCGACCAAGGAAGGTTAAAGTTTGAGGAGATGTCGATGAAAGTGGATACTAATCCATTTGAAGTTCAGGTGGGGTATGTTGAGCCTCAGTCAGGCATTACTGAAGATGCTAGATTGGTAAATTCAGTCTTCATAGGTATGGTCGATGTTACTGAAGACATTGATCCTAGACATGTCAAAATGGACATGTCAGAGGAAGACATAGAGTTCGACTTAAATGAGTTCGAGAAAGAATTCAAGAGAGAAATTTATCCTCAAACAGAGGATTCGTTCGTCAAATTTTTAACCAGAAAGAAAGAGAAGGATGAAGACGTGACATTATGTCCATGATGCAGCACGGTGTTCGACAGATAAGCTGCTAAAGCCTTCAGGGAAGAGCAAATCAAAAAAGTGGAGACACAGCAAAATAGTTGCAATGTTAAAGGAAAACAAACAGTCCAGATGACAGTGGGAGAAAATCAGCAATCTGTTGGTTCTTGTTCTGGTAGAAATCAGATGCGATGGGTCAAGAAGGAGACATATTCTCCTCAGGGAGGAAGTAGATTTCAAAATAATGATGTGTTCGATAGACTATCATGCAACGAAGGATCGACTACTGGATTCCTCACGTTCCAAAGGATATTTCGAGGAAAGCCTCGGAAGAGAGGGGGAAGGCTCCAATCTTACTGGAGAAGGTTCAATAATTATAAGAGCTTTAAAGAGCAGAATATACCAACCAGGGGTCAGTATGTAAGAGATTTTGTCGACGGTAAGGATGAAAATAGTAGGGATGGACAGCAGATTGGAGTAATATCGATAATACCCGTAGAGTATGTTAATGAGTATGAGGAGTTTCAGGAACAAAATGACGTTCATCGAGAGGATGATTTCTTTTATGAGGAAATAAGACCAAAAGTGATGTGGGTGACGCAAGTGTCATGCGAATCTCCCCATAGAGACGCTGCTTTTATCGATTCTCCATCAGATGAAATGAGGTTTCATTTGAAACCCCTGATGTTGAATATCGAGAATCAAGGACAGAAGGTGAATAAGGTCCTTGTGGATGGTGGTGCGGCGGTAAACATACTACCAATCACTATGCTAAAGAGGTTCGGTGTCAAACTGAAAGACTT